CAAAAAAAAAAAAAAAAAAGAAATGTTTTCTTGATACTAACGATATTCAGAAGCAACTGGAAACCAGAACTTCTTTGATGTTCATAAAACATCATAAACACCTATAGGAGATGTTCATAAAACAACATAACACCTATAGGAGTGTTCATAAAACAACATAACACCTATAGGAGATTCCTTTGGGTTTCTAAGAAAGAATTCTCTTGCTTGCTTTTGAAAATCTATTCAGATTAAGTACACTGTCAAAACTAAGGATCATTTTAAACAGAAAAGAGAGTACAAAGCACACCAATGACATTACTAACCATAAAACAGTAAGCTTACACACTTTTTTGTTCCTTCCTATAAAGATAACACATATTTGGAAATCTATGACTAATATACAAAATTGTAACTCCATGTTAAAAAAAAAAAAAAGTTTAGGCATTTTCCCAAGCTGCATTATGTTTCTCAATTTGGAGACAGAGCCTCAAGCTGTCACCCTGGGTAGAGTGCTGTGGCATCACAGCTCACAGCAACGTCCAACTCCTGGGCTCAAACGATTCTCCTGCCTCCGCCTCCCAAGTAGCTGGGACTATAGGCGCCTGTCACAACGCCCAGCTATTTTTTGGTTGTAGCCCTCACAGTTGTTTGGCGGGCCCGGGTTAGAACCTGCCAGCTCAGGTGTGTGTGGCTGGCTGGTGCCTTAGCCACCAAGCCCAATTGTGTCTCTTTTTTCATTCTTTGTGAGACAGTCTCAAGCTGCCGCCCTGGGTACAATGCTGTAGTGTCACAGCTCACAGCAACTTCAAACTCTTTGTGCTTAAGTGATTCTCCTGCCTCAGCCTCCCAAAAAGCTAGAGGTACAGGTGCCTGCCACAACGTCTGGCTATTTTTGGGGTGTAGTTGTCATTGCTGTTTGGCAGGCCCAGGCTGGGCTTGAACCGGCTACCTCCCATGTATGTGGCTGGTGCCTTAGCTGCTTGAGCTATAGGCACTGAGCCTGTTTTCTCATTCTTAACTGAAAGCTTAAGGGCAGGAGCTCTTCACATACATTATATTTCATATATGTAGAATTTATTTCCATACATACATATGTGAAATCCAGTGTTGTCCTGGATTTCAGAATATTATACCTGCATCTTAGCTCCTCTCCTACTCCACTGCTCTTCAAACCTTGAACACACACCACCCTTAAGCTATTTTCTCATTAATCATTTCAGTGATACTGCAATTAGTTACCAAAACCTAGTATTTTCCCATAAATTATTTTAACAGAAATATTTTTAAACTTCCTATTTAACAATATTTACAGTAAATGTTTTGGTTAATTTTCTTCAGAAATGTAAGTAAAGGGCAGTGCCTGTGGCTCAAAGGAGTAGGGCACCGGCCCCATGTACCGGAGGTGGCGGGTTCAAACCTGGCCTTGGCCAAAGAAAAAAAGAAAGAAAAAAACTAAAATTGTAGCAAATTATTAATATTGTATGTGTTGGTAAATAGCAATACTGCTCTGGGAGGGTATTGCTTACATAGCAATGCTAGCAATAGCAACCTATAATAAAATAAGTTTACATTCTTAGATATTTTCAAAACTTTTACGGTCATTTTACCAAGTATCCGATAGATGGCACTAAAATGCCACACAAAACTCTTCTTCCTCATGTGAAAGCCTAAAATACAGCCAAACATTTCTTATAAATGAAAAGTATCCACTGGAAATTATAACTTTAACAACAGCACTGAAAGTTCTCTTGGCTCGGTGCCTGTGGCTCAAGTGGTTAAGGCGCCAGCCACATACACCTAAGGTGGTGGGTTCAAATCCAGCCCGGGCCGCCAAACAACAATGACGGCTGCAACCAAAAAAATAGCTGGGTGGTGTTGTGGCAGGCGCCTGTGGTCCCAGCTACTTGGGAGGCTGAAGCAGGAGAATCGCTTGAGTCCAGGAGTTGGAGGTTGCTGTGAGCTGTGCTGCCATAGCACTCTACCCAGGGGGACAGCTTGAGGCTCTGTCTCAAAAAAAAAGAAAAAAGAAAGTTCTCCTTCCATACAGTTTGTACTTCTGTACTGTTAATCTATTCCATAAATATGAGAGCTTCCTATAAATTAGAAATACCATGCCTGCTCAATAACAAAGCAGACACATAAATAAACACAATTATAAATGTTAAAATTGTGTGCATAGTGCTACTGAGATAGAATAAACTGTATGCCAAGCAAGTAAGCACGAACCTGGGAATGCAAGATGAAGGTCTCTAAATGGAGGCATAAGACTCAACCAGATAAACCAATCCAACATGAATGCATTAGTACTGCCATATGAAAAGTTTGCTGTGATATTTTTCCATTAGATACAGCGCACAAGACAGTTTATTCTAACTCCTCAAAATGTTAAGGCTTTTCCCAATAAAGTCACACAAGCTATGAAGAAGAATAATAATGGAGGGGTGGGGGTCGTTTAAACATGAATGTTACTTGTTCTTGATGAAAAGTCTGAACCAGACTCCTTAAATCTAGTAGGTGAGATGTTCATTAGCTAAAATATACTTTAGATAATTTTGTAGAAAAATATTTTGGGTTACTTATAATGTACTCAAGTTTATTCTGCAATGATATCTTATTTGCTCATACTGTAAATATATGAGCATATGTAAATATATGTAAAATATAAAACTGGGATTATCTAAGGAACTGAAAAAATAAGACACGACTATTACCATTTTTCAAAATTGTGCCTACAAAATACAATAAAACTTTTAAAAACACACATACAAGTAATAGATTCAAAAGCAACAGTTACTTCCAGATGGGAGTACTCAGAACTACTACAGAAATTAGAATGGTTTCAAATAATAATGCAAAAAAAGCCCACCAGGACACCTTGCCCATGTTTAACTACCTAAGACGTAATCATGCTCTTATCTGGAAAATAAGGACACTTCTTATATGATTATCAAGACAACTAAACATGATATACTGTATAATCTTTATTAAATTAACTAATAGTACCTTATATATTTTAGAGAGTTCAATAAATCTTAGTTCCTATCATTATCCTGATTCCATCTACTACTAAGAGAATGTGAAAAGCCACAAATGGTCTGAAGACCAACAGAATTAAATGTGTAATTCTTATTTTTTTTAGATTTTTTTTACATATACATGTTTATTAGGCTCCCACTTTTTGCCTTCACAAAATTAAAAAGGCTTAAAATTTAATAATGATAACAACGTTTAAGATAAAGACTAAAGAAAAAACGAAGAT